TATACCAGTAATGACACATTTCATCTCCTGGTGTGTCCTTAGTGTTTTTTGAAATTATATTAAAGAAATAAAATCTATACAAAAATAATTCCCTAATATTATATAATATAATTACTAAAAATAAGAGAATTCGACATATTTTTAACATAAATTTTTATATAGCTATAAAAAAAATTTCTTAACATAATTTTGATTATTTTTTACATCATTTTTTATTTAACATATCTTTTGTAATTCAGTAATTTGATCAAAATTTGTCAATTATATTATTAGTTTTTTATGTTTATAAAAATTAAAAACTAATTATAATAATGATAGTTTAATAATGGTTATTTAAAATTATCGTGTATAACACGGGAATTAATTCTATTTGATATTCTCCCATTTCTTTTCTGTGTACTCCGTACTTTCTTCTTTTTCTGTTATTATCTCACTGCATATTATCCGCTTTTCGTTTTTCCTAGGTTTTCTCTCTCTCTCAATTCCATCATCAAGGTACTCAGCTTCGATTCCCTCTTTCTATCTCTTTTTCATTGCAATCTAATTTATCTTTCATTTTCTTCAATTTTTTTTGTTTAATTACTTCAATTTAGGGTTTTATATTGTCTGAATTTGTGATTTTTTTTTTTAGAAATTTTCGAATCACTCAAATTTCGCTTTACACTAAGAATTTCTATTGAATTTCGAAATATAGCAAGTAATTATGAATTGTTGATCATTTGAATCTGTAAGTGCTCGAGAATAATGCGCACTTTGAATAATCCAGGAAATCCAGCAATTATGATGTATACTTCTTGTGTATTTTAATTGGAAGACGTGTTCCAATAAATGTTATCATAATTGATATTTTGACTATTATTAGTTAAAAATTTGGATATTTGTTGATTTCTTGTAATGTGTTTGAATTTTCGTATGAGTTGTAAGTGGTCCTTATCGTGCTTTCCTAGGAATGTGTATGAAAGTTGGCATCGTTTTTGTATAATGTATACTATTCAACAAGATAAAAATATTTGTTTATGTATTGTGGATTGTTATATAGGGTGGAGTGTTTATACTTGTTGAGTTGTGTGTTCGATTCGTTGTGCAGAAGGAACCATCTATCTGTCTGAGTGTTGTATTCTTGTTTCGTTGTGTGGAACGAAGGAACTATCTATCTGTTTGAGTATTGTGGGTTTGTATCGTTGTACGGGAGGAACCATCTATCTGTTTGAGTATTGTGGGTCGTTTTGTTGTGCAATTGTTGCTTCATTGGTATTTGCTATTGTTGATCCTGGTATTAACATTTCAAATGATTATTTTGTAGTTAGTAAATGTTGCTGAATTTTGTTAATATGAGTGACATCATGTTGTGTTTGTAGCTGATTTTTGTGTAATAAAACGAATTTCGTTTACTAGAGTGACCATCATGTTATGTTTGTACTTTGTAGCTGATTTTTGGGCAATGAAACTGTTTGCAAGTCAAATATAGCACGATACAAACGTGATCATTAGACATAATATTTGTCCATGTCAGTTCAGTTTGCAAGTCTTGTGGATTGGGGCGGGAATTTAGACTGTCTGGTTCAACCTGGGGATGGGATAGCTAAAGGCTAAAGAAAGAGGGACATGTTTGACTATTGCTCTTCGCTGTGTTACCATATATACAGGGACTGTATCTAGATACAACTGATCTAGGATCAACAATAAACCAAGTATAGAAAGAATTGGCTAAGATGCCTTTACTATCCTATTAATGAGATCATAAGCAATGTCTATCTAGTATGTATAGTATATCAATGGAATTAAATGGCTTCCTTAAAGTTCTGTATGCTCCTAGCCAAGCTTTTTGAAGATTGGAACAGATTAGACATTCTGCTTAATTATTCTTTTCATTGTTATATGTGTTAGCTCTGGGAAATATGATATGCTTCTAGTAATAGCTTCTCAATATTTTTGTGTGCTTCATGATTTCCTTTTCTTGTCTGAATTATATTATTTGGTGTGGGAAGATAAGAGGAGTTTGTGCACTTCTTTGTACCTAGGACTCTAATAGCTTTCTAAGCCTTGTGGAAGACTTTTGGCAATTCTTGATGCTTACATGTTGTCGTGCTGTGTGCAGAACTAAACTATGGGACAAGTTTTGGGATGCGTTCAAGTGGCTCAGTCGACTGTAGCTATTAGTGAAAGATTTGGAAAATTTGAAGATGTGCTTGATCCTGGATGTCACTGTGTTCCATGGTGCTTTGGTAGCCAGATAGCTGGTCAACTCACCTTGCGAGTTCAGCAACTTGATGTTCGCTGTGAAACTAAAACTAAGGTTTGAAATCATTTTTATAAATCTAATCAGCATCATTTGCTACTTTATTACTTTGTATTCTGATAGTCTTTGAACTAAGATTAAGAACTCAATGTCTCTTTTGAAAATGAATTGTTGATTCAGAGTGGCATGCCAATAACTTGTTCTTCAATGTGTTTCACAAAAAAATACAATCTTTTCAAAAAGTAATCAATGTGCTTTGATGCATGGATGCATTTCAAATTAGTATATAAAAGATACATGAGAATTGAGAAGTGAATAAACCTTGAGTTTATAATCTGAGGGAACAAACAAAAGAACGAACATTACATGTCAATAACAAATTGATATTCAGTATTTACATTTGCATTTGATAATTTACTTTCTTTCAATGAAGACGAGAACACATTAAGCTTTGCACATTTATGATATTGTATAAATTGTGCTTATTTCCAAGTTTAATTTTCATCTTATTTTGTTTGCTCATTTCTCCTGCAATTTGTAATTACTTACTCTTGGATCTCTACCATCTCTTTCTCTTTTTTTTCCCCTTATTGGTATCTGCTTAATATATAACCTCTTCTCTTTGATATCTTCAGGATAACGTGTTTGTCACCGTGGTTGCATCTGTGCAATACCGAGCTGTGTCAGAAAAGGCTGAAGATGCTTTCTATAAGCTCACTAATACCAGGGAACAGATCCAAGCATATGTTTTTGATGGTATGTGTATAATATTGATTGAAGGGATATGGTTATTGCTTGGGCTTCAGGTGGCTGAAAACAGACTAGCATTGCTTGTTCATTGTAGATTAATACTATAAATAAATAACATGTTATTTTGCTTTTGTAATAAAAAGGGGATTTTTATTATTTTTGGCATTTTGATTGGGCTTGTCTAGTGATCTAGAGCTGTTAAATTACTCCCAAGTGACATGTTTTGATGCTTTTGTTAAAGTTTAAATTGGTGCTGACTGCTGAGGCTTGGAATATCTGTGGACTTGCTACCAATATGCTTAGAGCCTGGGCTTCGGGTGGTATTTTAACTCTCTATCGTATAACTGTGCTAATCTGCACCATTCAATTTGACAGTTATTCGTGCTAGTGTGCCCAAATTGTACCTTGATGCTGTTTTTGAGCAGAAGAATGATATTGCAAAATCTGTTGAACAAGAGCTAGAGAAGGTAATCCTGTTTTATATAGGCTGTTTGTGAAGGCAAAATTGTTCAACAATGTAATATGTTTTTTTCCTTATGTTCATGGATTCATGCAGGCAATGTCAGCCTATGGGTACGAGATAGTTCAAACTCTTATTGTGGACATTGAACCTGATGTGAATGTCAAGAGAGCAATGAACGAGATCAATGCAGGTAATGTACCTTGGTTTTTACCTCACTTCCTTATTCCCATCATTGTCTTTTGTGGTATTGCTATTTTCAAGAGCGTTGTTTCTCTCTTCCAACTGAATGAAAAAATGAGGTCAACTTAATTGTGGCTTTCCATTCATAATAGCTGCTCGAATGAGACTGGCGGCAAATGAGAAGGCTGAAGCAGAAAAAATACTGCAAATAAAGAAAGCTGAAGGAGAGGCAGAATCCAAATACTTGGCAGGGCTGGGTGTAGCTCGGCAGCGTCAAGCTATTGTTGATGGGCTGAGAGACAGTGTGCTCAACTTCTCTGAGAATGTACCTGGCACATCTGCCAAGGATATCATGGACATGGTATTGATAACTCAGTACTTTGACACAATGAAAGACATTGGTGCCTCATCAAAGTCATCCTCTGTGTTCATCCCTCATGGCCCAGGTGCTGTTAGGGACATTGCGACTCAAATCAGAGATGGCCTCCTCCAGGCACAAACAATGGAGAAGTAGGATCAGTAGGATTGTTGCTTTTATCAAGTTTGTGTATATACTATATAGGTCCAGTATGAACTTCAATGGAGTAAATAATGTTCAGTATTGCTTGGTGTAGTATAGAAATCATAGATGGTTTAATTTGGCATTATAATGTTTATAGCTTTGATTAAGTAACCAACATAACTTACTAGTTTGCCACACATTCTGGTAAGTGGTGTTGGTAATGTTTGTGGTAATGAAATTTATATATTTTGCGGCTTTTTTAAAGTTCATTTTCTCATTGTTGCTTGTATTACGCGGCTTTTTTAAAGTTCATTTCTCATTGCTGCTCCATACGAAGTATTAAGTCGTCATCTATGAAACTCTTGAGATTCCTTTTGTTGCACCCACTTCACAACTTTTGAGCTTAGTATGAGCCTTTAAAACGGGATGATAGTTTGATCCCACACACACAATTGGCTAAAATCCTTAATCAATGGCAATTCTGTGTATACCTTTAGAGAAAGTGAATAAATGGCAATTTGCAATTTTGAAGGGTGAATTTGACACTGCTGAGGGGTTTAAGTGTGAGTTTGACACAATTAATCACATTCGAAATCAACATTATTTCTCTGGCGTAGATGACTTTCGGGTAATTTCAGGCTGTACGCCGTTTGATCTACTTACACGCAATGCATCAAAACTGTCTTCTTTACCAACATTTTAAGCTATTATACCTTCCAAGTTTAAAAGTAGCCACCAATGACATCAGTTTGGTCAAGCTATCAAACAATTAGATACAATGTAGGCCATTTTTCAAAGTTATTTGTAGCACAGCTGGACTCTTATTCTCAAATGCTCAGAAAATAATTGATACAGAACAAGCAGATGAAGAGAAGATATGGGATGGAAATTAAAATAGGTAAAGAAATAATACAGGGGGGAAAAAGTCATATACTTGCAAAAAAAAATCTCATCAGTGAAACCTGGCTCATAAAATCTCATCGAGTCAGAGATTAAAGAATCCATAGACCAAGGGCTGGAAACAAAAGGCAACTGGTACGCCACCAGCTAGAATTATTTTTTACAATTGACCACCAAAATGACGCAAGTCAACAAACCCATGAATACATTCCAAACAAAAAGTTCACTACAAGTCTTCGCCTAATTATTTTCCCAAACAGAAACCATCAAGATCATCTCAACTGAAACTATCAAGATCATCAGGCACTTTTCAAGGCTTCAAAACCAAGCCCAATCCAAGTTTAGCACTCTTTTCAATGGCACTTGTGTCGACCTCACCAGAGAGAGTGACAATTGATCTGGGGCGCCATTCGTGCTGGATAAGGGCACTTGCCTTTCCATAGTTGTTAACACGAGCCTTGACTGAAGTCAATGGGTCCAATGCATGTTGAGTACCAATGGTGAGTGTATTTTCATTACTTGAGAAACTGTGGTTCAGCTCTGCACCAACAGCTGTGTTGGTCAATGGACTAACAGTATGATAGTATGAAGCATTCAAGATGTCCAGTTTGTCATTCCTGCAGAAACCCAAAAGTAACAAGGTTCAAAAGCAAATCCCCAGCTATCATATGAATCCAAGATTATTCCCAAGATCAAGGCATACTGTAATAATGACAATGGGCAAACAATATGACATTATTAATGCATATGAGCTAACAATGTGACATTAATGAATGAGTATGAGCTAACAATGTGACATTAGTAACAATATGGCAATTATTAGATCAAGACAGCTGTTGCACTTCTTTTATTTCTTTCATCTCTAAACAGCTAATAGTGCACGTGGATAAAGCAAATTATAATTGTATTACAGAAGCTACTTACAAGTTCACGGATGCAATGAGATCTTCATTGGTAAAGCTCACTCCAGCATTGCACTTGGTGAAATTTCCAGAAGTAGTGTCAAATGAAAGGTCAGTACCCAAAGAAAGAGTACTGTTTCCAATAACACCCGAAAAGTTAACAATGGGGTTTGCTGTCAAACCAAGGCTCGTGCTGATACCAGCATACTCATGCAAATACTGGAGTTCAACCTGTTCCATAATGTATAATCTAAGCATTAGAATAGCCATCCAGTATCTTGAACTTTACTACTAGCTTTGTTGGGGGGGGGGGTGTTAAAAACAAAAGGTATTTTTACCTTGCCAGATCTCTGATCAGGAACACGAAAGCTGAAAATAGCCTTCAAGCCAGGGGCAGGCTCATCAACAGTAATTGTGGTGAAAAGCTAAAATCAAAAGTGAAAGACAAAGACAAAAGAAGTTAGAAGTCCAGTTTACCAGAGAATCCAAACTTTTACAAGTAAATAATCTAAACCAACAAGGTTATCTCCACCAAAATTTGATAATTAACAGCCATAATACCTATGTAATCATGATTCCAGAATCAATTGGTAACACAAATATACATATAGCACTCACATTGGAGTTGGTATCAACTTTCACGTCTGTGGTAATATTTTTGTTTACCAGCTTGGTGCTCACATCAGCCAAAAACAACTCACCCTTCTTTGTCCCAGTAGAAGTAATAGCCTGAAAGAAACAAACTAAAACATTAAAATTGAAACAAGCCATGCATTCTGATTAACCATTTCTCTACAATATAAAACAATAATTCAGCAATAACCTGCACTGCAAACATACATTTTAATATGATTTCTCTCATCCTAACTCACAACCCTAAGAAATACAATGCTCTTCTAAGAAATGCAATGCAATTTCTGATCATATTACATTCTTTTCGCAATCCAACAAAAAGGGCAAGCAGAGTTTACTCAGTAATGTCAATTATTCAGACCAAAATTCATGAAACCTTCCATTTCATAACAAGTGCAGAATAAGAGACGATATAATAATCCGAAAAGGGATAACAAAGTAAAAAGAGTCTAAATCCCATAACATTAGTAGAGAATACAGAAGTCAACGACTACATTGGAACACGCATAAAACACACTCAAACAAATTTTCACCATCTTTATAATCATACATAACCCTCAATTGACTACTTAGAACTTATCCGTCATTACTCATTTGACAAGCATTAAACAGCTGAAACCCGAAAGCCATAACTAATCTCAAATTGAACCCTAATTAGAAATTACTGCGTACCCATCAAATTTCCCCACCTCAAGATTTTGCCCAATTACATAAACAGTCCCATCAATCCAAGATATGAATAATTTAAAACCTAGAAGCATCATTTAAACAAACCCTAAAACCCATTATCATCCAGCTCAAATTTATTTAATTATTCATCATAAACCTAATCATTTCCCCCAAATAATATAAATAAGCACAAACTAATACACAATCAAAAGCATCAAATTCAAGAACCCAGAAAAATTGAAGGGAGAAAGAAATAAAAATGGCGAAACTTACAACTCCATTGGCGGTGTAAGTGGTGAGTGTGAACTTATGGTCACTCTGATAATCCCTATACAGAAGATCTACAACAGCAAACAAAAATTCAAAAAAATAAAAACCCCATCAAAAATTAACAAGAAATTAAACCCAAAAAAGAAAAAAAAAAAAGAAAAATCAGAAAAAGGAAAAAGGAAAAATGAAGAAAAAGAAATGAAACCTCTAGCTTTTTTGCCGATGTCAGAGTAAAGTCCAGGACCCTTCACCATATTTGAAGATTGTCAAAGCTTAGAAGAGAGAGAAAATGAGGGTTTTGGGGTGGAAGAGAGAGAAATGGAAAAGGAGGAAGAAATGAAAAATGAGAGAATCAAAGAATATTATGAATGCGCTACCTCTATGTGGTGATGATGTGTAGTTGTGGCTGAATTTTGAATTACAGAAATAAATTAAATTGGAAATTGAAAACCCTAATGCAATCTTGACCGTCTGATAAAGTGGGTGTACCATTGTTGTGATACATCTAGCTGTCTATTCTCTGTGATCATATTCATGGTTGTATTGTGGGCCTTATGCCCTTATTGCCCTTATTTATGGCAAAAAAAAATTATAAAAAAGAAAAAATGTATGCAAGTATGCAACTCTACAAGCCTACAACCACACACATTACACATTTTTGTAATGCATAACTAAGGGTATGTTATCATACGTTGAAATTCAGTTCAGATCAGCTCCTAATTTCCTTCTCTTATAAAATATTTAGTTCAGTTCAGTTTAGTTCAGTTCAGCTCAGTCAAGTTCAGTTCAGTTTAGTTCAGTTCAGCTCAGTCAAGTTCAGTTCAGTCAATGAGAACAAGCCCTTTAAATGAATATTTTATAAGAGAAGGAAATTAGGAGCTGAACTGAACTAAACTGAGCTGAACTGAACTGAACTGAATTTCAACGTATGAGAACGGGACCTAAGAGCCTGTCCTGATTGACTGGACTGAACGAATTGGAACTGAACTAATTGGAGCTGAACTGAACTGGATATTTTATGAGAGAAGGAAATTAAGAACTGAACTAAACTTATTGGAACTGAACTGAACTGAAAATAATCTGAAAAGAACAAGCCCTACCTCCATATTTTATTACAGACTACTTTCACCTAAAACTCCACGTATAGAGAAATGGAGCAAGCATTTAAAAGCGGAGGGTGTATTGATTTGCTTCTAACTTTTTAAGTACTAAAAGGTAGGAGTAAAATGGTAATATACTAAGAAGTGCTTTTTTAATTAGCTTTAATTCAAATATTTTAAGGTTATGTTTGGAAACATGATATTCATTTCAAATGTTGGAATTGAATTTCAGAATTTAAAATCTCGATATTCAATTTCAGTATTGGGTGTTTGGGAAATATCATAATTAGTCGAGCAAATTAAATTTTAGCCATTTTTAATAGGGTACACTCTAATGGTCGAGTAAGAAATTCGAATCTCACTCCAATGGGCGAGAGAATTTGTGTATGATTCAATGGTGAAGAACCCCTGGGAGAGAGAAAAAATTGAGGAAATGATGAAACTCTTGTACGACATATGAGAGAAAGAGAGTTGGGCTTTTTTGATGAATATTTTTAGAAATTAAAATGATAGATTTAGGATTGAAATTTCAATATATCAAAATGGCAAATTTTAAGATGCACTATGGTGCACCTATTTCTAGGTCCACCACGCCTATACTTTTGAACAATCAGTAAAAAAATCTGAACAATTGCAAAATTTGAACATGTAGTAAAAACATCTGAACATCGCAAATTTTGAACATTTAGTTAAAAAATCTGAACAATTGCAATGCATCATGCCTATACTTTTGAACATTTAGTAAAAGAAATCTGAACAATCAAGAATTTTGAACATTTAGTTAAAAAATCTGAACATCACAATTTTGAACATTTAGTAAAAAAATCTGAACAATTGCAATGCACCACGCCTAAAATTTTGAACTTTTAGTAAAAAAATATGAACAATAATTTTTTTTGAATATTTAGTAAAAAAATCTGAACAATCGCAAATTTTGAATTATTACGAGTCAGACAAATTTTGAACTGACTCGTAATAATTCAATAGTTTTGTAATATAAACTGAACATTTAATGTATACAAAATGAACATTTCTTGATAAAATATGAACATAAAAATTACATGTTTATGTTCAATTTTTATGACGTGTTCATATTCTTTTTGTAAAATGTTCATTTTTTTGTAAAATGTTCAATTTTTTTTACTAAATGTTCAAAAGTATAGTTGTGGTGCACCTAATACTAATTGTATCAAAATACACTCATGTCTTTTTAATCTTGGATTTGGGCCAATTCCAATTCCCAAATTCTATGCATATACAAACTACATAATTGGGCCAAATTCAGAATTTCAAATGAAATCACTATTTATCAAACATTTATAGACTCATAGTCTTATATACAATAGCTAGTACAATCAACAAGTCAAAATTAGCTAATATGATCAATTTCAACTTTTAGAATTTAGTTTTTTTTCACCAAACATGACCTATAAATAAAGTACTTTATTTTCTTTTAAATTTTTTTTACATAATAATAGAGCACTTTATTCATTCCATTCTTTACGATAAAACAAATACAGTTTAATTATTGGACATTTACATAGGAACAATGGACATGCCATATTTAGGTCTTTGCATAAATCTAATAAACTTGAAAAAAAAAACTACTAATGAATTGAACAAAAAAATAGAATCTAGATTAAGTTTTCTATATCTTGTAAAGTAAAATTTGATGATAACCCTTTTATTTATTTATTTTTTTGTTAACTGAGCCTGAAAGATAATAACCTTAGTAGCTATGTAAAAAGTTTTATTTTTTATATGGCTATATCTCTTTCACTCTCATTGTTATATATTCACCTTGGATTTAGGATTTATTCTATAACTAATGCTAGACTAACTTTTACTTCAACTTGTATGCGTCCATGAAACTTTTGTACCACTGTGTTACATGTACATGAGAGTACCTTAATTGTTTAACAAATCTCAAAACTAGTTTAAACCCTGAATAATGAACAAGTTCTCTATAATTTAATACTAGTTTTGTCCCCGTGCAATGCACGGATTTATGAAGTATGATATAATAATACAATGGTCAATTGAAATAGAGTTAATTGAAATTAAATAATTTATGTAACACTTTTTTTATTTTTAAATTTGAATTTTATAATGTCTATCCTTTAAAACTTTTTTAATAGAATTTTTTTTCTTTTTTATTTTATTTTGTTTTTTTATTTTTTAAAAAATAGCATTTTGGAGGGAAAATTTTTCACAAAATTATGCCAAGTGTCCCATTTGGTGATTACTTTAGTATATAGTATAGATAAGATGAAAATTCAATTTTTAAATTTAGTTTTCTTATTTTAAGTGTATAAGGCAGTACTTTGGTGCTATTACTGTTATATATTATTCAATATTTTTTTAATTAGGTTTGTTGAGGTGGGGTTGGGCGGGTGGCATGGATTAGGGATGTCTATAAATTATGATAGTATGATGAGGTAGACAAATTTGGGGTGTAGAATGATGGTAGTATATCAATGAGAAATAGCAAGTTGATCTTATTTATCAACAAAAGAAACATATCAAGGAATATTTCGGACAATCTATTTACTAAAAGGGTAAGGATAAGTTTATTGGGAACTAAAGTAGAGTCTTAGAGTCAGAAGATGAGTCTCACTCCAGACTCAGACTCATGTGTTAATGTCATAAAAGACACATGTGAGACTTGGAGTGAGTTTGGAAGATCAAAACTTATTTCTAAACTTTGCATGGGGAACAAAATGCAAAAACTTTTAATCCCGGGTCAATCAATACTTGTCACCTCACCTAACAATTCTTTTTTTTTTTTTTTTACAAAAAAAATCATTTAAGATATTTTTTATAAAAACATAAATATATTTTTGAGAGGATAAGTGAGTCTTGGAATAATGTGTAAATTTGAAAAACTCTTGTATGAATCTGAATAATAAAAAACATTTAAAAGTAAGTGAAAAGGTGATGTGGAAGAGTCTGGAGTATGGGAATAAACTTGCTCTAAGAATGTACTTTTGACATGGTTGATATTTTCTCAAGGTTAACACCGTTTCCTCCATTGAAATACTCCTACCTCCACCTCCTTCCTCATTCGCTTGATCTCCACCATTTCCAATACAATCTTCAATAATAATAAGCTCAATGGCAGCTTCAATGGAGGGCTGGTCAACTCCTGGGGTTGACCATGCCCTTAATTTTACCCTTCATTCATAGGGTTTTTGTTTATTTTGATGGAAAAGTTGTCGATCATTGGTGGAAGTTAAAGATGAGGAAGATGGTGTCGGTGGAAAGTGGGCACGATGAAGATGATGGCGTCGGTAATATGGTGGGTGGAGACCGGGTAAGCTTAAATGGAGGAGGCTTCACGATACACCGTCAAGCCAACAAACAGAGTTAACTAGCTGTGCAATTTAGTTAATTAAGCTTCTATCCTCATCACTTTTTATGGTAAGAGTTCGAATACAAACAACACATATCTAATCTGTCTCATACACTATTGCGTTTATTCACTTACATAGTTATATGCCACAAGATATAAATCAAAAACATTAATAGGGGCTCCCTATATATTACGAGTAATTCGGTTTACTTCGATTCAATTCAAAAGAAATGGGCCCATATTTACCCCAAGTCCCTCCCTAACATCATAAATGGCTCTACAAGATCTTCTCTCTTCCAATAAAATAAGTTTCACCTCAAAAAAATTCATGTACTTTTTATGTCGACCAGATAAAAAAAATCTAAAATTAGTGTACCATGAGAGAGAAAGCGTGTGATTGCGAAAAAGTTAAAGAGATGAAGGTCCCATTGAAAAAGATCTATGAACCAAATTGGAAATTATGGGCAACATTTTTAAAAGGCATAATTCAACTGAAAAATCCAGGAGATAGCCAATCCAATCCATTCTTCTCTCTTTTTTAACCTCCTGATCACCTGGAAAACCTGTATTTAATATGCCTACTGTTGCAATTGAACCGCTTCTTCATCATTCTATCAGACAACCATGTCCCAGAATTAATCCAATTAATCCTCGGAAATTGCTACCCTTTTCACTCAATTTCAGTTCGAGGGCAGCTAGAATTTGTGGGAGTTATTCTAGCTATGGACGTTCAAAACCCCTTTTTGTTACTGCTTGTTCTGCGACCAGTACTCTTCCTGTTTCCTCACAACCTACTGAAATTGTTTACAGTGAGACATTTGAGCTGCCATTGGTACAAAAGGTCTGAAATTTGATTACCCAATTCTTATTTTTATGTTTGATGAAATGGGTTTTTGTTGTTTGCTGGAAATGTCTATTATTTTTGCCTAAATTGGTGTGATCATAATTTTGCTTATGGGTATCTTATATTTTGGTTTTTGTGAAATGAATTACTCTTGTTCGATGATTTTTTCTTTTAAATTTTTTCATGCATTTTGTTGAGTTGAGGTTGATGATATTGTTGAATTATATATATGTTTTAAAAAGTTGGGTTGTTTAGTTTTTGGTAAAATGTTTATTAGTAAAGATTTTGATTGATTTGGAATTGTAAAGGTGGAGGGCAAGATATGCATTAGCCTGGATCAAGGGAAGGATGGAGATAGTTGGATATTGAAAGTTGGGTGCACTCTTCCAGGGAAATGGGTTCTGCACTGGGGTGTGAATTATGTGGGTGACGTCGGAAGGTAATTTCTTTCCATCTATTGTTTGTGTTTGACATGTTTGAATGTTAAGGGTTTCTTAGTACGAGTTTGGTTATTATGATCTTTGTTTATACTTGTATTTGGTTAATTTGGATTTTCTTTGAGAATTGCAATGTGTGCTATTTAGACTCTTTATTTGAACCCGTAATAATTTGTCTGACCCTCTGATTCATGAATTGAGCTGGTCTTGTAGTTGATGTCTTGATTCACACCCATACTCTTTTTCTTGTTTCCTATTTATTTGGTAGGTTGATTTATTCATTTGTTTTATTATTTAAATGGATGTTCAGGGAGTGGGATCAACCTCCAAATGAAATGAGGCCTCCAGGTTCTGTTGCTGTTAAGGTATTCATGATTTTAGTTTTAGAGCTCGTAATATCTTGGAGCTACTGTTTTGTGTGTATATAGTTTAAGGCTATTTGTAAAATTTCAGGACTATGCTATAGAGACACCATTGACACAATCATCCTCCTCTGAGGGCTGTCTTCATGAAGTGACCATTGATTTCAATTGCCATAGTAAAATTGCGGCTATCAATTTTGTGTTGAAGGTCATTCTTTCAACTTTTAGAGCTTGTGTATTTATACCCTTATGCTTTGGCTGTATCTTAGTTTGCCTTCATGTTCACCATTTAAACAGGATGAAGAAACTGGATCATGGTATCAGCATAAAGGGATGGATTTTGTGGTCCCTCTTGTTGATTATCTCTGTGATGATGAGAATGTTGTTGGAATGAAGAAGGAATTTGATTCATGGCCAGGTGGAATATATCATGATGCCAATTTTTTCACTGAGGTTTATTGTTTGGCTTTGAACAGTCTGTTGTCTGTTGACTCTATTCATTCCATGACTAATACATGAACGATATCAATATTACCTTTAACTCTTTAAGAAATACAATATTTATTACACTTCTCTATGATGTTGTTGCTTACTGGTTCTCACTTACAGCATATAATTGTCAGATACTCCCACTGTCCCACTAAGATGCCCCAATTTCCTTTTATGGTTTTCCTATTGTGTCCCATACTCTTTTTGGAGTAGAGAGATAGACGTAAAAGCTTGGAAAAGGACAAAGTAAGAATCCCACATGCCAAACTTCAACGAAATTTTAAAAAAGTGAATTCCCCCCTATGGGGCACTCAGTTAGATTTATATTCTATCAGTGGGATCACATTGCTTTTCTTGGTTTAGAATTTTTTGAGTTACTAAAAATCTAAAATAACTTCTTCCATTGGGTATTTGGGTATTATATGAAGCATGCTCTTCACAGTTATCTTTGTACTTACTGAAGTTATTGTATTGTGCACTTTATGATTTGTATGTCGACAATTCTATATTATATAGTTAAAAAGATGGTCAATTTAGTTTGTAAATTTTTAATACTGCAGAACCTTCTTCTATACCAGATTAAGCAACTGATAGCATTAAATAGCCAGTACATAATCTGGGTTTGGAAAGTTCTAATGAGTGAAATTTAGATTGTTGCTTTTCTTTGAATTTTCTGTTATTTTCACACTGCAATGTCTGTTGGGATTATAATGGCTGTTCATTTGGTATTGGCATGACTAATTTGGCCTCCTAAGTTGATTTTCTGAATGAGTGGCTTTAATATAGATAAACAGTTCTTGTAAAACAAAATTTTAAGAACATGATTGCTCTCTTTATGCTTTAAAAACAGATGTATAATGGAGAGGGCTCTTATGAACAATTTCCTGTGATCTTGCTTGATGTAGGAACTTTTGGACAGTTGTCTAATATGCTTCTTGAAAGCGATGGACCTCTGTGTAATGTTGAAGGCATTGATGAAGCGTCTCCTGAGCTTGCTTTAGCCAATCGAATACTTGAAGGGTTTTATGAAGAGCAGCCTATAGTAAAAGAAGTTCCTGTTAGCAATTCACTGTTTGTCTCTGCGAGAAAATGCTCAGAAACGGATAAGAATATCGTCTTTTTGGAAACTGATTTGTCAGGGGATGTTGTAGTTCATTGGGGAGCATGCAGAGACAATCCCATGAAATGGGAAGTACCAGAAGCACCACATCCACCAAATACCGAAGTATTTAAGGACAAGGCGTTGCGCACAAAACTGCAGGTATGAAAAGAAGTACAGAAGGGTATATCTGGTTAAATTTAATATAGTGCTATATCGCCTATATGTATACATACTGTTGATTAGTCTTCTGGTCCATACCTCAGTGTCCTTTTCATTCCATCTAAAATATAGGTAATGTTACATTGCCAATAATTATAATCTGCATTTATATTCTTTGTTTCCTATCTCCTCTCTGCTGGTTAATTTCAAAATAATTTTCTGCCCCTACTACCTTACAAATTTACCATTAGCGCGTAATTTTCTATGCTCTTGTTGTTACTAACTGTCCACTTTATTGGCTTGCGATCACAAGGGTGCTAAATATATAGATATCTGAAGCTAAGCTGTCTATGGTATAGGACCGAGTTAGTAAATCATACGGTTTTTTTTTTAATTACATCAGGACAATGTTTGTTTTGATCCATTCTTTATGATACCATTTCTTTTTTAATGAATTGTCTAATCTCCAGCCTCATTCTTGTCTTTTGCAGACTAAAGGAGACGGATTTGGAGCTAATGGACTTTTTACTCTAGATAAAGAAATTACCGGATTTCCTTTTGTCCTGAAGGTGAATGATCAAGTGTGGTTAAACAATAGAGGAAATGATTTTTTTATCCCTCTTTCCAGGGCCCAAAGTGTGGGTGGTCCATCTGATGAAATAGATAAGAAGGTATCTTCAGAGTCATTCTCTGGATCTGTGACAAAGGATGAAGACCCACCAATAGAAAATCAAGAAATTCTTCAAACTACTTTTACAGATGGAATCATCAAAGAGATACGGAAACTAGGTACTGACATCACTTCTGACACGAAATGGAAAAGAAAAAGTAAAGAAGCACAGGAAACTATTCTGCAAGAGATCGAGAAGTTGGCTGCAGAAGCATATAGTATCTACAGAAGCTCTACTACAACCTTTCCTGTAGAAGCTGATTTAGAAACTGAAGAGTTAGAAATTCCAACTGAAATTTGCTCTGGGACAGGGAGTGGTTTTGAAATTCTATGCCAGGGGTTCAATTGGGAGTCCCATAAATCTGGAAGATGGTACATGGAGCTCCTCGAAAAAGCTTCTGAATTGTCATCACTTGGGTTTACTGTAATTTGGTTGCCACCTCCCACTGAATCTGTATCACCTGAAGGTTATATGCCAAAAGACCTTTACAACTTAAATTCGAGGTTAGCTTTGTCACCTATTAGTATTTTGGCTATAAGTGAAATATTTTTCAGCTCTCTAGCTTATTATTTTTCTATATTAGAAAGCATGCATTTTACTCTCCAGTAAAGATGGAAACTTAGTTCATTAATGTGCTTTTGACATGCAAAGTTTAGACGAGTTCATGACTACATTTCTTTTTCTGGCTGTCACTACTTTGGGAAATAGATATGGTACAATTGATGAGCTGAAGACTGTTATCAAGGCATTTCATAAAGTTGGTATTAAAGTTCTTGGAGATGCTGTTATAAATCATCGTTGTGCACACTTCAAAAACCAAAATGGTATTTGGAATATTTTTGGAGGCCGCCTTAATTGGGATGATCGCGCAGTTGTTGCTGATGATCCTCATTTCCAGGTTTCTACAATTTTTATTTATTTTTTGTATTAAAGTGCATTATCCATATACATATTCTTTCTCCTTTACATCCAGTCATTGGTTGGACTTTCCAAAGTAAGATAATGTGGCAGAACTTTTACCTAATTGCAAGATTAATTGAGTAACCATTGTAATTAGAATTTACCTGCTGTGTTTCCTAACTGATGGAAATAATTATAAATACCTCAAGGTTGACTTAAACATTTGATGGGAAACTTAAGAAACATAGTGACAAAGTAATAAATGGTTTTATAAAAGGGATTTCTATAAGGTTTTGGACTTTTGATTGCAACTAGCTTGCCCCTTCTAAGCAGTTTCTTGTTTATTAGTCGAGATTTGCGCCCCGTGAACCCATATATATACCCGTTGCTAATAAACATTCAATTATGTATCAATATTCTATCTGACAGCTATGTGTACTGGCATCAATTAAGGATGCAACTTTTATGGTTTTTTGACACTTTGGTGGTACCTATTAAGTTTGCGTAGTGGATTTCTCTAGTATCCAAAATACTATGTGCATTTTATGTTTGCATTTCAAACTTGAATTTGTGTAATAAATTGCATAGTGTACTCCAGACTCCCAGAGACTTGCAACATGACAATTATGTCATACTATCAATAGATTTCTCGATCTAAATCCCCTTTTTATTTTTTATTTTTATTTTTTTTATTATTATTATTCTTATTGTTATTGGTTACCATGATTTGAGCACAGATATGTTCCTATATGACTAAGATTTTGGTTGTGCTATCCAGGGTAGAGGCAATAAGAGCAGTGGAGATAACTTTCATGCTGCACCGAACATTGATCATTCACAAGATTTTGTAAGAAATGATCTTAAAGAATGGCTACGCTGGCTGAGGTTAGTCATTCACTTGCTCGGTGTTAATTTATTATCAAATTGTTCTATATCTGGGGTTTATACTGAAGCTACAAGACTAATTTAGCAAATAATAGATATTTAATATTAGTGGTTTTCTAGGAATATCATTTATGATCTGCATGCTTTGTGCTATGAAATTACTCTTATTTTTCTGGTAACATAAAATGCAGGAAAGATATCGGCTATGATGGCTGGAGGCTTGATTTTGTGCGTGGATTTTGGGGTGGTTATGTTAAGGACTACATCGATTCTAGTGAGCCCTACTTTGCTGTTGGGGAGTACTGGGATTCACTTAGCTATACGTATGGAGAGATGGATTACGATCAAGATGCTCATAGGCAGAGAATTATTGACTGGGTTAATGCTACTGGTGGAACTGCGGGTGCTTTTGATGTCACCACAAAAGGGATTCTCCATTCTGTATGTATCTACTACCTCCGTTACATATTAGTTGCAACTTTTGTCAAAACGGGGTGCTACACATTAGTTGCAACTTTCTATTTTTTTCCTATTTTAGTAAGTTTTTTTAACAAAAAAATACAAAAATACCCTTACTAAAAAAACTTATAAACATAACTAACTATCTAAATCAGATTTCATTAAATTCCTAATCTAACTTATTAACATAATATTTTCACCTAATTTAACTCATCTAACACATAAATTAAAAAAACAATTCAATTCCAAAAATCATTCAACTCAATCAACTCCCAAGAATTATCTGAACACGACCTTCACAACCTCGTCGCTGCCGCATCTAACCACCATTGTTACCGTTGCCGCCGCATCCACCACCACCGTCAACGCCGTCGTTGCTCATCACCATATTCAAAGTCGCCGCCTACTCCTTCAGTGTTCCTTTCTCACTCCTTTTCTCTCTCTCTCTTTTTTTAATAGTGTAGATCTGATGGTTTGAGGGGTAATTGGGCTAGTTTAGGGTTGTTTATGGATGGTTTAGTGTGATTCAAGGTGAGGAAGGGTAGTTTTGGGTTGGTTTAGGGTAAGTGTGGGTTATCTTGCGGCTGATTGAGGGTGGTGGTTTTGGGGTGGTTTATGGCGAGTGTTGGTTGCTTTAGGGAGGTTCGGCTGTGAGAAGTTGGTGTCGGTGTGGTTAGAGTTGAGAGGGGGTGGTTTCGAGTCGTTTGGGTTGAGAGGGGGTAATTTTGGGGTTGTTCGCGCTGCGGGGGGTGGTTTTAGGGTTGTGAGATGGGTGGTCGGCCTGATATGGGTGGTTTCAGGCTGAGAGGTGATGATTTTGGGGTTGCTCGGGGTAATAGGTGGTGGTCTTAGCGTTGTTCGGAATGCGTGTGGGTGGTTTCTGAGTGGTTCGGCCTGAGAACAGGTGGTTTCAGGCTGTGAAATGGGTGGTCTAAAGGTGGCTGATGTTGAATGTTGGTGTGGTGTGGTTGTTGTTGTTGGTGGTGGTCATCTTTTTAATTACCTCCACTTTCTCTCTCCTATCCTTAATTTACTATACTTTAATTCATTAATCAACCATTATGAAATTTTGTCTTAGAATCCGTGTCAAGCTCAAAGTTGCAACTAACTTGAAACGGAGGTAGTATTCAAGTTCTAGAAAAGTAGAAGATAACATTTAATATATCTTATCAGTCTCATAGAGGGTTATGCTACATTGCTATCCTGTTATCTCATTTTTATTTCTAATTCTATAAAACTTTGGATTGCTATGCCTGCCAAGCTTCAGATAAACAAAGTATGTCTTTGGTTTATATTCTGCCACATATATTATTTTCCCTTGGCAATCAGCACTTGAATTCATTAATGTATCTGATGTATAGATGATTTGTTCACATGTATGGCATTTAGGATGGAGGGTATTAGGGCGAATAAGTGATGGGAAGAGTTTAGAAAATCTTAGGTTGCATTTTGGGTAATTATTTAGGACTGCAATTTATTTCTTTAGTATTAGGGGGAGATGCATATTCTACCTTCCCTTGGGCAACACTGTAACAATCATCCCCTTTGGACATGCATGACAAGGTGGTTATGCAAGAAGATGGAAACATATTTTAAAAGAATCTTATTAGATCTCCTTTTTTGGCTAGCCTTTTTGACAAGTCAAGTTGATCAGTCGCCACATCTGCCTACTACATATTTACCCAGTGTTTAAGGTACATTGCTTTAGTTCATCCTGTGCCTTTCTCCCCTGCCAAAGTCAGCAATAAGAAATCATAGTCAAGTGTTTTTAACACTGTTAGACCTATGAGTGAGGAAATATTATCTTCTCGGTGAATTACTCTAATAACTTTATTAATCATTCTCTCATACTTTGCCTCTCCCCTCTTCAAGGTAAGCAAAAACTAGAACCATGCCTTGTTCAAATTGTGAACTTAATGATGTAAAATAGAGTGATATGACAGAGGGAGAGGTGAGTTTCTCAGGAGCCAACATGCATGCCATGTTCAGTATCTCTTGTTATTGTTGGCTTCTAGCATGTTGTGATATTCTTAATTGACTTGCATAGCTTCTTTTCCAGTTCAATCATCATACTTAAGTACAAGAAGATTTTAAATTGTACTCATTAACTGATGTCACTTGCCTCAGGTCCTGGAGAGATGTGAATATTGGCGTCTGTCAGATCCAAAAGGAAAACCGCCTGGGGTTGTTGGCTGGTGGCCTTCTCGTGCTGTCACCTTCATTGAAAATCACGATACTGGTTCTACCCAGGTGCATGCTTCTTTTTCTCTGTTTTTGTCATGTCCATGATCGAGACTCAAGATTGCAAAATTGATTTTCAAGACTGTTTCCTTGTTCAATGTTCTCAAATTTGTGGTCTATTCCTTAAATTGGTGGATAATGCTTTGTTTCCAATTGTGCTCCAGTCTCTTACATCCCCTATATGTTGGCATTTTTTTCTGCATTTATTTTCATTTTTGCTAAATTCAGGATTTTATTCATTTTACGCTTATCTTGTTAATTACTTTGGATTTTTTTTTTTAAATAATCTTTCTTGAAATGTTTGCTAGGGAAGAAAAGATAGGTATTGACGTATTTTATCCTTTGGAACATGCATGCTTTTTCACTTTTTTGGAAGACTTATGGTCGTTATGGATACATGCATGGTAATAAGCAAAATTACCTTAAATGATGGCCTACCTTCGAAAATGATTGATTATGAAAGTTTCGTAGGTAAATTTATCAGAAGATTTCATTGATTTTTCCAAGGTAGCTTCGATTTTTAGAAATGATGCTAATATGTAATGATTTTGCACTTTCTCAATCCAATGGATGTTATGAAGGTTAGTCATTTGTTTTTGGATATTGATTATGTAAGATATCCAAAAGTGGCACATTTATTCCCTGACTTCCCAGGTTCATACCTGATGAATTCTTTTTCTCATTCTGTGTGGTCTATTTCTTACCATTTCTCAACAATAAGGATATCAGAAATGGCCATATCATTTTAGCTATGAAAGTCTCTACTTTATAACATTGCTCCTCCATTTATGTTTGAAAACACGTTATTTTTGTTAGCTAAATTGCAGTTTCTCACTGTCTTTACTTGTATGCTTCTGCGAAGGGTCATTGGAGATTTCCTGGTGGCAAGGAAATGCAAGGTTATGCTTACATCCTGACTCACCCTGGAACACCAGCAGTTTTCTATGACCACATCTTCTCAGACTACAAATCTGAAATATCTGCACTTATCTCTGTCCGAAATAGAAACAAAATCAGCTGCAGGAGCCTTGTAAGTATCTTTTAAGAATCTTAATTATGTGAGATTCTCCGTAAGTTTGGTCATGTTTTTATAATTTATTCAAGTCACAAAAAGATTTTTTTTTAGCTATCTACCATGTCACTGATAAGTTTCATATGGTACTGTAGTTATAGACCTCTAAACTTGACCTTATTATATATGTGGCCTCTGATAAGTGAGAACAATGCTCATTTAAATTGATTTAGTCTGCACTAGTGCTCCCTGTTTCCAATTACAGTGCTATATAGACTTCCAGGACATGGAGAACAAAAGCAGATAGGGATATATACAACTGAAAATTACCTGCTGGATTTTTTCAGGTTAAGATAACCAAAGCAGATAGGGATGTATACGCAGCAGTTATAGATGATAAAGTGGCCATGAAAATTGGACCTGGTCATTACGAGCCACCAAGTGGGCCCCAGCAATGGTCTGTGGCTGTTGAGGGCAGAGATTACAAGGTTTGGGAATCAAAGTGAGAAATCCCTGAATTTTTTAGAATCAAAGTGAGGAGCATATCAGGATGGAATTTCTCAGTGTAGATCATGTAGTAAAGTAACCCTCACAAATACACAGGGTCGGTCTTTAATTGTACAGGAAAACCAGGAAGGATGATTTGCATTGGCAGAAATTGGCTCTGCTCTGTAGTGTATCTGGCATATTCTTGCAATCTACTGATGATTGAGTATGAACTTGATGTTGCCTTTCAGCGTGTAAGTGTGGTAGTATATATGGTCTGTATCTACATTCTTTAATAAGCAGAGGATGCAAGTTATCCTTGTACTGGCAAAAACTGTAATACCCATTTTTCTACATTACAGCAGGATAATCATGTTTATTCACTCTGATTCTGAATAAATGTATCAGTTATTCTGTCTACTTTTTTGCACTCTATTTAATCATAAACTAGTGTGTATCTCGGGCGATGCACCGAGTTTTACTTTAAATCTCAACAAATATTATTTGACCTATAAAATATAACTACAAGTATATAAATAAAATAAGGGGAGCAATAATAATTATGAAACCAATTAAGTGCTCTCAAATTGATGTTTAATACAAAGTATTTAGTATGTTTTAATTGAATATGAACATAATTAACGATAGCAAAGATGGTTATAACATTAGTTTATTTCTTATTGGTCTTGTGGATGATGTGGCATATAATACTTGTGAAAGGTGATGTGGCATATATCTAATACACGTGAAGAGTGTCATGTGACACATATTCCGTTTTAGGAACGCTTTTTAATAGATGAGTATAGATAGATATAGATTTGTTGGGTACAAATATATGTATCAGGCATGTATTCTGGTTTGTCTTAAATTTCTACACGAACATACTAGGTAGAAAACACATCAACTCAGCATAGTGGGTGGAGATATCATCCATCCACCAGGTTGTTTTTTTGATAATCCTAAAGTACATGGTGTAATTTGATAAACAATGAGCATAACCAGGAGCTTATAAAAGACTGAGCTTCCAAAATCCAAGTATGCAGTCTGCTGTGTTCCTATGTTTCCAATTAACACTAAGCCAAATCAGTCGCTTGGTCTAATGGTAAGGGTTTGGCTTCATGATTAAGGTAATGAGAAATTGAGAAAAATCTTTCTAGGGGCTATTTGGGGGTGGCAATTCTCTTATACTTCCCTCTCTCTCCTCATAACCAGTGACCTGGTCATCCATTGGCCTCACTCTAAGGAAACCCATGTTTTTGTTTTTTTAAAGCAAAGAAACCCATGTTGAATCAATCTAAATTTGGAAAATCTAATACTCCTTCCGTTTTTAAATATTTGCTCCATTTCTCTTGGACACAAATGGTGATGCTAATCTTTGATCACTAATATTTTTAATTGTCAATCCATGCTTGCGCCAAATTCAACTATAGTAATATTCAAAAAATTTATAATCTGATCATCTGATTAAGGATATAAAAGATTAACAGCCGAGCCAATCAACAACTACATTCAGAGTTGTAATATTGTTGCTGCTGCAATGCCTGCAAGAGGGTGTCGCTACTGATTGTAGATTATAGGCTGCCAAATTTATTTTTCATTTATTCAAAATCATATGTATATACGTAGTACTTGTTATACAAGTATATAGAAATTGCAATGAATGTAGATATTTTATGTGTATATATATTTCAGTTTCTCTTTTTTTTTTTTTTTTTTTTTTTTTTTTTGTATATACATGTGGGGTAGGGGTGGTTAACTGCAGTAACCATGGTAAGTTGGGAGGTAAGGGGTATATGGTAGCATTAGGAATTACAAAAGTTTTACGTATATCATATTATGGTAGCCATTAGGAATTACAAAAGTTTTAGGGTGTTATTATAATTTGATATTTATTTCTACTCAATTCCCTTCACAACGCAAACAAAAAACTGTCAATATTTTATTGTATTTCCAATTTTATTCTCAATCTTTTAATCCCCAAACCCCTCCTAATCCCACTTACCAAACACCCGTACAAGTAGTAATTATCCCTATAATTAATTTTTTATTATTCCTGCTGAACGTATAATCCTTCAAAAGATAAAAAAATAAAAAAAAAATCCTGCTGAAGGTATAATCCCTTAAAAAAATTATATAAAAAGATGATAAGCTTGATATATTTTAATTTTTAAAAAAAATAATAAAAGCTTGATATATCTAAACAACCTCTTTTTTGAGAGAGAATTGATTTAAACAAGAGGTGAATTATTGGAAAATCAGAAAAGACTCGAACTTTTCCAAAAAAGAAGAAAGGCAAATATTGCAGAATTAGAATGACGAACAGGGATTTGAATTGGGAAGATTGGGATTTATACGATGGAGAATATTTAAAAGATTTATGTTTCAGACTACCATGGTTTGAATTTAAGGAAGACGTCAAGGATTCAGTGAAATTTGTTTCAGGCTGCACCAACAAGATCATCCATGCTTGCGCCAAATTCAAGTTACCTAATGTATAGTAATCTCTGTCTCTTTGATTGTTTATTTTATTGTCTCTTTGATTGTTTATTTGATTTTTACCAATTAATTGATTTTATGATTTATGATCTGTTGATGTTATTTGTTTTAGTGCTACTGTACAAATAATTCTCTTTGATTTGATAGGGTCAACTCTTGATTGTACCAATTTTATGAGAAATTTGTGACACTTGCAACATCAAGTGTTAGTATAGCCTCTAATCAAATAAAATAAGGGGTGTCAAGTTTATCTCCTTGATAAACAAACATACTACCCACCCGTATAAGAGTAACAATATAACAAGACACCGCTCTAAAGTAGTAATAATATTAATATTGCTTTAGATTCGAATAATTGAAAACACTTAATTAACATAACATGGAAGGCTGATTTGAATTTGATTTTTCTATGAAATTGCAGTTGTCCAAGATTCTGAGGAGAATGAAGTTGAGAAGAAGCTACTATGTACCACTTGATAATGAAGCAAGTAATCAGATTGATGATATGAACAAGAACAAGGATAGTATAGCAAATCAACGTGTACGCGAGTTCGAGTTCAAAATTGGAAAGCATATTGTTTGCTTAACTGTGACCACCAAGGTCAAGAGAGACTAGTGTAGAGTGTAGATGCAAATCAAAGTTACTCAAAGACTAGTGTTTGATTAACAAACAGAACTACTACTTTGTGTGTGTGTGTGTGTGTTTGTAGAGATATAACAGTTGAATATTTGTGCTTCATAAAAATCAAACTTGCATTGTTAGGATTGTTGTACAAATTGGCTGTTTTCTTCGATTAATTCTATAACATGTTTATGATGCAGAGCTTTCTATTTGTCTTCGTTGTATCTAATTTTCTACTTCTTCTTTGAGCAAATAATATTGATTTCCAGGAGCAACAAGTCACATTGGCGCTGAAACTGCCCGTGTGCTCGTGTTGCTCTTGTTATATAATAAATTTCTAGCTTCTCTCTTTTTCTTATTTATTTTAGTTTAGCATTTCATTTCCAAAAGATAATTACACCTGTTGAACGTATATAAAAAGTAATTCATCTTGGGTGGATCCGGTCCACAATAAACTTATAGTGGACCAAAAGTCTCACGTGCCCAAACCACCAAATAGAAGACAGTAAAAAGTCTCCAGCCCATCCCACTAACCCTTAAACCCATAAAACCCCAAACAATTCATGCATCTTCTTCAGAGCTCGAAGTTTTTTCTCTCTCCTTCTAATCAATCTAGGGTTTATAATTCTCTAATAATCAATTAATTTCTCCGAAAATCATGGCAAATTCTTCTATACATTCAGTTGAAATCGATCTAAATCAAAATATACAGGACAATGTAGAAAATTTTGATATCAACGTAATCAATTTCGATCTGAGCGATGATGCTCAAATCGAATGCTACTACGAAGGTAAGAATTATAAAAATTATTGATTATCTATTTGATTTTGATCAAACTGTGCAAACTTAATTTATTGATCATTGTTTAATTTATTGATCAATTCGGACCTGAATAAGAAGATGAAGTTGTTGAAGATGTAGAACAAGCAATTATTGATGCTGAGGATGAGAATGATCAACATGTAATACAAGTTCAAGGTATTACAATTATGCGAATTATGCGATTTAGAGTATATGCAAATTATGCAATTGGTTTTAGAATTCGATAATGTGAATGAATCAATTATGCAATTGCTGCAATTTCATAATGTTAAATAGGATTCATAAAATGTAAGTCAATTATTCTCCAATATCTACATGTATCAATTCATGCAACACTTGTTTGGCACTTTAAATGTAAGTCAGACGTTTTATAAAATGATAAGTATAATCACTTTAATTATGATATAGTCACTTTAAATGTAATATAATCAATTTTATAAAATTTCTGCAAAATAATAATCTTACATTTGGTGTACGGTATAAAAATTATTTCAATAATCATTTATGTGATATAATTCTATTTTATACTCTATAATCTTCTTTTTCGCATTATAATCATGTGTAATGCAGGGAAGGGGAGGGAGTTGTGTGCTGCATGTAGGCAGGGGAGGGGTACGGTTGTGAGAGTTTGATTGATTCGTATGTGGTGATTTAATGTATTTAGTGTATTTTGCACTGCTGCACTAGGCATTGTCTTATGGTGCTATAATATTTTCAGTGGCCTCTTGTTTTTGTTGTAACAACTTGAACAAAGGGGGTGCTTGGAGGGGGGAGACATAGCTGAAAATAGTCTGATTTATAATAATATAATCTGATTTATAATGATATAATCAATTTTATCTTGGCTATTATATTTTCACTTGCAGACAATACAATTTAGTTTTGAAGAGCCATAAATAGCAAAAGCAAGAAAATTTCTTGAAGAAAATTTCAAAAAGACCAACATTATTGTTGACAAAATAATCAAGGAAGATGAACAAAGAAGAGCAGCTGAAGAAGCAAAAGCAGCTGAAAAGGCAAAAGCAGCAGCACAACAAGCAAAAGCAACAACAACTGATGGAAGTCATCAAGCATTGTCATCGTCAGGACTAACTATATTGGATCCCGATAGAGCAACTACCAAAGGGAAAGATAACAAGAGAATCAAGGGGCATTATGATTTATACAAAAAGCCAACAAAAAGAGGGAAAAAAAGACATAAAGAATTTGGTTCCACAACTCCAAAAGTTCATTTGTTTTAGAATTTTTGGTTTATTAACTTTTCTATCTCATATACAACATAATCAATTTTGATTTGGCATAATCTGTTTGTACTTGACATAATCAGTTTTGTATTGGTATTTGATTGGGTATAATCAGATTTCAATTTTTATAGTGACCAAAATAGGAGTCAATATTTCATACAAACTTGACCATAGAACAAATCTTCTCATGCAAAAGTAAATCAAATATATCTGCCAGCCATGTACTTAATTATGTAACCCAAAAGAGGAGGTGTTGTGAATATGTTAGCTTTTCATCTTATATACTCATATTTGGTATACTCATAATCACATATAATCTTATATAATCATATATAAGTTGTTAAACACTTGAATACTACTATTATGTAACCCAAAAGAGGAGGATGTTATGAATCTATTAGCTTTTCATCTTATATACTCATATTTGGTATACTCATAATCACATATAATATTATATAATCATATATAAGCTGTTAAACACTAGAATACTATTATGAACTTGATTCATTGATTTATATAGATGTCATTACATTGTTACTTGTTAGACATTGTTAGACATTACACGTGTAAATGTCATTACATACCAAAAATATTAATCCATATTATCTACTTTTAGAACTCTACAATTATTTCTTCTTCTTAGTTGCTACAATTTTTTGTTTTTTGGCTTCGAGTTTCTTCATCTTTTCTGCTTTTCGGGCCTTTTTCCTTCTGTTCTCTTCAATTGTCTGCAAAGTCTTTGACCTTTTATCTTTGAATGCAATCACATTATCCAACAGAAGAGATCTCACTTTATTCATGTCTGATAATACAAGGCTTGCACATATACAAGCTCTGCATATCTTTCTATCATTCTCCTGAAAATTAATAATCATATAAAACATTATTCCTTACCTAAACTCTTAACTTTTTTCTAGCATACACAAAATGATATAAAGTAGTAGAACTTACAGTATTCAAAAAAGGGCATTCAAACACATTTGAACCGTCAAACAACAACATATTGGTCAACACGAAAGCAACACAATCCAAATCCAAAAACAACATATTGGTCTTCCACCTCCCTTCGATCTCTTTTATTTTAAAGAGTCCAATATCACAAACGATATTTAAGTGGATTAACTCGAAGAAATTTCCAATTAAATCAGCCTACAATAAAAAATAAAAAAAATAAAAATAAATTGTAAATAGTATTCTTAAAATAAGAATAAAATACAAATATGAAAACCTGAAAAACTGTAGAACAAAAGTGAAGTATGAAATACCAATACAAATCCAATTTCTTCAACTTTTTTCTTATAAGAAGGATCAACCAATAGCTTGTTGTCAAGATATTGAATATTCTGCTCTTTAATATTCAGCACAAACAGAAAATAATGATGCTCAAATAAGACTGGAAAAAATACCTGAAATATTCAGCACAAACATCATTATATGATATTAAACATCATTATATATACACAAACATCATTATATGATATTAAACATCATTATATATACACAAACATCATTATATGAAAGATGTGATATAATCACAACTGATATCTTATTATCATATTTATATTGATATAGTCACTTTTATATTGATATAATCACAATTGATACCTTATAATCATATTTATATTGATATAATTACAATTGAAATCTTATAATCATTTTTATATTGATATAATCTAATTTTTAATCATATTTATATTCATATAGTCAGTTTTATATTGATATAATCATCACAATTGAAACTTATAATCATATTTATATTGATATAATCACAATTGATATCTTATAATTATATTAATATTTCGTCCAGTAATTGTTTTCTTATATTTGCACACATAAGCACACATTCTGCAATTTCTAAAGCTTTTCGACTAAAATCAATAAACTAAAACTACGAACAACGAACACAAGAGAGAGGAAAACCAGTAGAATTAAGCTATTGTAAAAACTAATTCCTAAAAATCAAATCAAATACTAAAATACCTCTTAAAAATGAAATTTAAACACTAAAATTGAAAATCTGAAGTTAAATTAATCAGAATCGGACGATTTACACAAAAATTGAACTAATTAATCGAAAACCTAATTAAATACCTTTGCAAGGCCGCCCAACTGATGATCGTAATCCTCTTCGTTTACTCCAATTTGATGATCGTATCTGATTAGGGGATTTTTCCCACCAATCACCATCTGACAAGTGGACCAATCAGGTTCCGCCATGTGTCCATCACATGGGCCAATAGGAGCCTGCCACGTGTCAAGCAATGATCCGTCCACTATGGACCAATTACGACACGACACGTGTCCTTCCCATGACACCTGGGATAACTGGTCACCAAGGCCCAACGTCCGAGGGAAGCCCAATCAGCCCAAGGTTAACCTAAACCTAGATTGGCACGTTTCCCGAGGTTATAAATACCTCCCTTAATCCTCATTAAGAGGGGGAACGCAGATTACACACATAAAACTCTCTCACCTAGAGAGACCCAATCACTTTAATTTTCGCATTAATTACTCCTTAATCAAGTACTAACTTGACCATCGGAGGCGGATCTCCAATCATCCGGAGCATCCGTTTGTTTTGCAGGTACAGGCGTCCGATTCCAGTCTCGGAATTGTAACTCTCCCGCAGGACATCAGAAAACCCCGAAACATCTTGGCGCCGTCTGTGGGGAGAGTACTTCTGAGATGGCATCCACGTTTGTACCGACTCCTGAAGAGAGACGTCCCCTGGACGACCCTCTAGTTCAGTCGGACCACGATACTGAGAATGAATTTGAAGTTGAAGCTCACACAGCTTCAGACGGGACCCTAAGGGCCCGACGTACCCGTCATACCGAAAGGAGGGAACGGGAACATCTTCATACAGGAAGCAAGCCAGCAGGCGCACCGCCTGTTCGGCAACAGCCGACTGATGGGTCTGCTCCCATCACAAGGAACGAACTGATGACCTTCATGAGGGACTTCAAGGGAGAAATTCAAGAGTTGATCAACAAGAAGCCGCCTGCTCTGGACAAGGAGCAGTCGGCTAAGAAACCCTCCACTTCACAGAAGAGGAAGCCAGTTCAAGGGCGAGAGACGACCCCTCATCCTAAATCTAGGAAGCGGGAGCCACCTGCCCTTGATTTCACAAAATACCGTTTTCCTACTCTA